AATGATATAAACGATATAAACTATATACAACTATATACAATATACAAGTGTATCTACATTACACAGTAGTAGGCATGCTTCGGGCTTACGATCAGGATTAGGTGCTTCTACACCCTTGTTAATCAGCTATCATTTCACACTGATTTTAGGAATAAATCATGGGTAGGGTTAGGTTTAGGGGTAGAGATTGGGTTTAGTCTATATTTTTGGACAGTAATGTTGATCCAGGATCAACAAAAGATGTTTGTACTTGGCAAAATCACGGCGACCGATACCACCGTATAGGCAGATGTCACAGCCAATCTGAATTAGACAAAAGAGGAATCCAAAAAATGATCGTGAAATTTATACAATAGTATTAGTAATTTATTTCAAATTACTCAGTTTACTACTACTGTGTAATGTAGATACACTTGTATATTGTATATAGTACACCTGGAGTTATCTTTATGGTTATGAGCTAAGTAAGTTGGTTTGATGGCTGAAAATATTCATTAAAGTCTTGTCTTTAGAATGTAGACCTTTTGAGGCAGAAAGAACAGTTCACTCAATAAGTAGAGTCTGTAATCCCTTTTTGGCAAATGTAAAACTGCATTTTATGGGTTTTATTTGCCATTTAAAAGTATATCAACAGGTAAAAAGGACTGAATGAGCTATAATCTGTCAAATATAACAACCATGAATGAAATCAAGTCATTTTGAGGCAGAAAGAACAGTTCACTCAATAAGTAGAGGCTGTAATCACTTTTTGGCAAGTCGAAAACAGCATTTTATGGGATGTATTGGCCATTTAAAGGTATTTCAACAGGTAAAAAGGACTGAATGAGCTATAAGCTGTCAAATATAACAAGTCATTTTGAGGCGAAACTACATGTTACTACTAGGGATATGCCGGTATCAAATTTTCATGTTGCGATTAATTGCTAATGCTTTTATTACGGTATACGGTATTATCACGATATTGAAATTAAGTTTAAAAAAGTGCTGTCATAATACAGTATAACAGGTTTAATAACATTTTTCTTATAACAAAAATAACTGAACATTTAAATGCAATAAAGCAATACAGAAAAATGTATAAAGTTAAAAGTTTTACACAGATTAAAGTGCAAAAGAACTATAAAGACCAATAGGTATCACTTTACAATAAGACCTCATTAGTTAACCTTAGTTAATGCATTAACATTCACAATGAGCAATAGCTACATTTGCTACAGAAGTTATTAATCCTTGTTTAAAAAATACAAGTCTTGCTCATTAAATAACACAGCTGCATCTTTCGATTTTAACAACGTGTTATTAAATATTGGAATACCTAAGAGTAATAAATGTTCAGAAGAATTTTTCATTGGCAGTTTAAGTTAACTAATGAATTAACTAATGTTAACTAATGAAGCCCTAATGTAAAGTGTGACCGAACAATAAAGAATCAAAACACGTTCAAACAATATCTAGGGCATGTTGTAGTCCAGATTAAAATGTAAAAAAAAGTTTGAAAATAAATAGCCTATTAAGTCTAAATATTTAAGTATTTGGCGCTGTGATGAACATCATAGCAAATACACAAATCTGAATGACTGCTTAAATCATTTAAACACGATTCAGAAACAGAAAGTAGTGCAGCTGCTTTGTTTACAGGGTTTCCGGGGTAACGGCTGCATTTAAATGAACTATTATTATTATTATTATTTCTGCAGTTTAGCGCCATCTGCTGTCAGAGAGTGAAAGTGCGCTTTCATCCAGAGCGTCTCTCACATGTTCCGCCATGTGCTTCTCGTCTGCGCTTGTTTACATCAGAGTGCGCACGCATCTTTCATGCAGCATACGGCGGTGTTGTGCATTTTGACCAGTTAATGGGAAAAGTATTCTTAAAATGCATTCAAAATTCGGAATAATTTGTAATATATAATTATTCACGGTATTTAGAAGTGCCCACGATAACAATACCGTGCATATTCATTACCGTGATATATCGCATTACCGAATACCGGCACAAGTCCAGTTACTACATATTTCACCTGTTAAAAAGGACTGGATTGGTTGGCACAAATCAAGTAAAATAGGCTTCTATTATTACCTATAATCACGTAAATATCATGCCAGATTACGCTATAAATGGCAAACACTTCTTTGGCCACAATTTAGATTATTCCGTTACAAGAAAAGTTTCTTTGTTATTAGCACGGACATAAGGTAATGTGTATTTGCAGGTTATGGCCATTTGATCCTGATAAAAGCAGCCGTAGACATGTAGAAACTGGGGCGATACAGCTTTAACATGCTGTGTGCGCTCCCGCGGACGGCAATCAGTTTTCGGCACGACACAGCGAATGCCGAAATCACGTTAAGCGGGGGTGGGGGTGCATTTCAGGCATTTGTATCTTCTGTAAAGATGTAAAAAACTGAGACCACAGCAGGTTTCACATCGACTCACAAACTTACCTGCAAATGTATCACGTGAAATCAGTGAATCACATATCCACACAACAGCTATTTGAACTGTATCGTTTTATGACGTTATAAACGAACAGATATAACAAAAACAAGCTCCACGCTATTGTAAAACCAAATCTTTATTTAAAAAATTCACCAAAAATGTACACCAACTGCCTCTGTGATATTCATTTCAAGGATACCGAGAGCTTATAATAGCTGTGCAAGGAACAGGAAAGGTGCACAGCATCAGTTGATGTTTTGCTTTATATCTGGACATATATGGAACTCATCCTTCTGCTCAATTCATAATGTTGGTCTGATTTGACAAGAGTCTGATGGTAATGTTTAGTCTCTTCTGTTCTGATCAGTTCACTTCGTGTTGATCTGATGTCATAAACCAGCACAGCAACTGTAGCCACGCCCAACAAAGCAGAGAGAACCAATCGGATCACAGCTTCAGTGAAACTACAACAGTGGATGTTGTCTGAAAAAAGAAAAACGTTGAATCAGGATTGTGCATTTAAGTCTCTTTTAAACAGACTTAAAGGTGCCCGTTTTGTGGGTTATTATTAGGAGTTCAAGCATCTACTGGGAAGGCAACGTGTGCAAATTTGATTGTCTGCATGCACACTTTCCTTGCTTAGCCAAATAACATTAACTATGACTGTAGAATATAGGCAATTCTAAACTGTTTTTTTATTCACTCCTAAAAATGTGTGTGATTATGTGATTCATTCTCCATGATCATTTACTAATGTTTTTAGAGCAGCACTGGGCACACCCCAGCACTGAGCACTGGGCACTGGGCACCCCCCCAACCAACCCCACCCGCCCGAACGGCTCCCAGACACCAGACACCAGATTCACTTCTCTGTCACTCATCTGCAGTCTGTTCTCTATTCCTGTAAACTCTGACAAAAAAGCAAGCAAATGCGCCAATATCCATAAACCATAAATCCCAAGGAATGCATGAGCTGTTCATACATATACCTTGAATGCAATGTAATTTCACTTTGGATAAAGCATCTGCCAAATGCATGAAGGCAAGTTTTAATTGGTGTATGCAGTCCCTTATAGGCCAATCACCAGCAGAAATATGAATAATATGTACCGCACCAATGCAATGAATATGTGTGGGGTTTTGACTTCAATCAGGCCACTAAAATAACAGTGGATTTCAGAGTGAAAAACTAAAATCACACTGATTTACTTGAACACATCTGACAGAGTTCTGCTTTGTAAATAAATGGTAATATCATCAGTAATGTACCTGAACTTGGCTGATGGAGTTCAGTATAGTTGTTATTCTCAGTTTGATTGACAGTTGAATTGTTCACCACAGAGCTGGATGTCACACGATTTGAGCTTGATGAACTTTCTGATGATGAAGAATTTCGTGGAGTCTCTGGTAATGACAGATGATACTGTGACGTTAGTCTCATCACACACACTTCTGATCTTTATTTACAAAAAAATATTTCAATGCAATTAAAGCAGCCAATATCATAAAATGAGGATGTAAGGAATATTGAAAATAATAGAAAAGAAACATTTAAAAATGTTACAATGCCAAATATATAATTCAAACGAAGGTTAGTGCAAATGAAACCATAATGTTCTACTCACCATAGACTGTAACATTAAAACTCTTGTATTTGGTCTCTTCGCCGCCAATTGTGAGTTGATAAAGTCCAGAGTCTGTGGTTCTGGTGTTTGTGATGGTCAGAGATCCAGTCAGATCCAGTTTCAGTCTGTCTCTGAATCTTCCATCAGCACTATCATAGGTTGAGATGGTTTGCGTAAGCCTGTTAAATTCAGCTATTCTTGTGCTTTCAAACATCCACTGTATCAACAAATATTTCTGTACTTCAGTAACATCAGTGTTTAGAGTGACAGAATCTCCCTCCATCACTGATATTCTCCTCACTGCATCGGTCACATCTAGAAAGCAAACAGAAACATATTTTGTCACAGACTAAAGGCCCGTTCACACCAATAACGATAACTAAAAAGATAACCATAACAATAACTACATTACTACAACATAAAATGACACAATAAGGCTGATCAGTATAATTAAAACAGAACTTTTATTAATATCTTTAATAAAATATAGACAAATTGAGGCTCTGAGGCACACATGGCCCATTAAATCAATTCATGGACAACACAGCCCATTAAGGGCACCAGGGATTTGGCCCCAATCTAGACTACATCCCTATGTACAATAAATAGCATTTATACAAGGTCTGTGCTGTTGAAGATTTGCAAGATTGCAGAACTCGTACAGTGGTTCTGAAATGATTTGTTCCTCATTAATGGACTCAAGCAATTCTTCTTTTTGAGTGTCACGTGATATTTCTTAAGCACTCGTTTTTGCATGCTAACAAAAGTGAAACATATAAGCATCCACTCTGTGGATCATCTGATTTAATCTTATTCAGCTGACAAGTTAGTTTCGAAATAAATTGACATCAATATTAACATGTTTTCAGAGGCATTTAACTCATTTAAGATGGTTTATTTGTATATTTCTAGATTAATTCCTTCAGGAAAAGTACGTTACTCACCACACTCCAAAACTAATAAATAAAATTACCCTAACTTAACGTTACTTCTATTATGATATGTCTGAGAAACTTAACCATCTATTTACTACGAATAATAATAATAATAATAATAAATCATGGTTATTGTAGTTATTCCATGGTAACCACAAATTAACCATGGTTTTGGTACAAAAACCATAGTTTAACTATGGTATTTTTGTGATTACACAAATGGTAATCAATACGCCAAAAATGGTTTTATTATAATACAAACATGGTTAATTTTCGTAAGCAGTAAACAACGAGCTTACAAGAATAGAATAAGTCATACAAATTCATTCATAACTTACCAACCAGACGACACAAGCACAAACAGAACAAAACAAAAGCGTTAACCATATTCTCTGGCCGTTTGTCAACCACTAACGCTGTAAATATCTGAAAATGTCCCGAGTTTTGTCTCTGCATGTCCTCATTGCCCGGAGAGCTTGGTCGCTAGTAGGCGTTCCCGCTTCAGGTTGCCTAGTAACGTTTATGAGTTACAGAAGTGGATGTCATGCCATGTTGTTAACATTGAATACGATTTCTTATTTTTCAAAGGGAATATCGTATATAGAATAAAATAAGTCCATAAGACGCTTAATATCAAACATGAACTAGAAATAACTTGCTCTTTAAAGATTGTTAATTTAGAACACCCTCATCAAACAGACGAAATATGAGGCGCGCATTGTAAAGGAATTTGAGGTATGATGGGATAATAGACCTACTTCTGTAAATAAACATAATATAAATGAACTTACTATATGTAATACACCAATAGCGATTAAATGATGATAGATGAATGAATGTGACAAATTTAGCTACTTTTTTGGGAACCATTTAAATAGAAATCTTAGAAAAAAAAACGAAGGGAAGTCCCTATTATTAAATGCAATAGATATAAATATTTGCGATTTTAAAAAAAAAATGATGATTGCGATATTCAAAAATCAACTAGATTTCAGTTAAAGGTGACATATTATGCCCCTTTTTACAATATGTAATATAAGTCTCTGGTGTTCCCAGAATGTATCTGTGAAGTTTCAGCTCAAAATACTCCACAGAGCATTTATTATATAATTTCGAAAATGCCTAGTGTTAACTGTATGATTCTATTATCTTGAACTGTTCATTTGTGAAATTAACATTATTGGACACATTCACTTCTGATCACAGATCACTCTATTGTAATGTAGACACATGCGTTTTCTGTAAAGCTGCTTTGAAACAATGTATATTGTGAATAAAATAAATTTGAATTTAATTTAATATGTTACACGTTCAGACTATCCACCTTATTCCTTACGCCCCATGATGCTTTGCGTGAATTAGATGTAAACAATCAGTGAAAGGCTTGCTCTATGAACGCAATAATACGTTTATTTATTTATTTTTAACTGGGTACAATGAGATTACATTATTCTACTCAACTTCAACCACTGAACATTAAAATGGCATTTAAAAGTGTAAGAGCATAAACAAGGTACTTTCAACAGACCATAACCCCAAAAGCGCGATTCTTTCCACAGCAATAATGGACGGGTGAAATATCACTTTATTAATAGCCTATGTATTATGTAAGCTCCCCTGACTACAATGTCCAGCAAAACATCAGAATAATCAAAAACCGGTGAAATATCGGGTGGTGTGTACTTCCGAATGTCCAGCAATTCGTCTCTGGTGAAACTGATCGCAGGGATATAACTAAAGACAGGACAAACTAACAAAAACATAAAAACAACTGCAGAGCACGCCACGGAGGCAGCCATCAGCGTCGGCGCCATCTTACTTATTATGTAACATATGTTGCCTTAATCAAAAATGTTAATTAACTTCAGCAATGCGTGATACTATTTCACAGTGACCGTCATTTTGACAGATAATAAATGGTATTTAACTGTGAAAACAAACAAACCTGGAAAGAGACGTGAGGATTTTAGGAGAAAAACGAGAGATTTTTTCGTGCATTCCAGTGAATTATTAATGGGATGTATTGTCAATTAAATCGGGAGAACAAACAGACGACAAATATACAGTATATGTTGTCCTTTTTCATACTATTACAGCGAACGCAAAGAAAAAAAAAGAAAATAATAATGAGAAAAAGAATGCATGCGATTGAAAAGAGCTCTTGCCATAGGTATTCTTGTTATAACATGTCACTTTAAAATACCAAACGTTATTCTCATGATGTCTGAAAATAAAACATGAAGAAAAATCAACACCTCATTCAGTCAAACAGACGGATAAGCTTTATTAGTAGGGCAAACTTGATTTGAAATGATTCGTTTCAGTCTTTTTGAATGGAAGATCCTCAAACCGGAAGTGCCAAAACACAGGCCCTGCGTTCCATTCGGAAGGGCTGAGCTGTTAAACGGTTTTGGTTTTAGATGAACAGGGAAATGTTTATGAAACTCTTTCATAATTCACTCTTTCCTCAACAGTTTTATTTAAGATGCTAGGCCTATCCACAGCTAGCATGGCCTCCAAGAATATTTGAATATATCAAAAGAAAGAACAAAGGCACTGCTTTCAAACAATAACAACAAAACATTTTATAGTTTTTTCTTTTTTAATCAACCCCTGAAATGTTGGCAAATTCCAAACCAAATCCGAGAAATCTAAGACTTCAAAAGGTTTTTGTTAAAAACTTCATTCAGAACAGATTCAGAATGATGATCAAAACATCAACGCCTCCAAAGCTTGCACAGTCATACCTCCTTGGGGTGACAATATTTTTTAGTACAAATTTAGTTATATGTATTATTATGGGTTTCAATTCACATTCTTCAACTTAATTTTCTCTTTTATTATTGTTAATCTATTTTTGTGATTGTTATCATTTTCTGTATTTCTATGTTTGCCTCATACCAATAAAGTTTTGTTGACTGAC